TACTTTTGTATAATATATTGTATACATTATACAGAGTTTACTTTTGTATAATATATTATATATATTATTCAGAGTATACTTTTTTATAATATATTGTATACATAGAGAGTATACTTTTATATAATATATTGTATACATTGTACAGAGTTTACTTTTGTATAATATATTATATACATTATACAAAGTATACTTTTATATAATTTATTGTATACATTGTACAGAGAATACTTTTATATTTTATATTATATACATTGTAACAGAGTATACTTTTATATTTTATATTTTATACATTATACAGAGTTTACTTGTGGAATATACCGTCATTTTTCTGATTTGAAAAGTAATTCTCCATTGCTTGTTATTAACAAAAAAAATGGTCAAGTCTCTTTTAGCCTCTTATTATATTGTTTTTTATTCTAGAAAAAGCCTGATCGCGCATATTCTTTATATTATTTCTTTTCACTTCTCAACAATAAACATTTCTGAGAACAATTTAGCCTTTTCATCCAGTTTTTTATTATTATATTATCGTTATGTATTGTGACACAAATGGGTCTGATGCAGATTATTTAAAAATTCTTAATTTATTCTGAATTTTCGGAATTCAAATGAAAGTTATTTAAATATTAAGATTTAGCTAAATGATTGAATGATTTATTTTGTCAAATTACTGTTGATAAAAATTGAAACGTTTAAAACCATTTTATAAGACCACAAAAGTTGACTTTTCTCACTTACTACAAATTTGAAATAACTTGAGGAGCTCGGAGGTAACAAAGTTGTAACTTTTATTCCCCAAAATATTGACCTTATTCCTTTTAAAATGAAGTCTTTGTTCTTTTTTTTAAATTGTGATTTGAATGTTTATTTTACTGCCATATGTTAAAACAAATAAATATTATAAAGTTTCGAAAATATTATTAAGAAAGAAAATATATGTATTTATTTATTTATTAAGTTAAAATTAAATGTAAATGCAGAAGATTTTGTTACTTTGAAAATATTTCAGGGACACTTATAGAATACCTGCAATAGTTAAAATTCAAATAAAGAAAAATACGTAATTAAAAATGCCCTCCATGCTCATGAAAATCCATATTGTTTATAGCAGAAACAGATTTAATGCAAATAGGTTCTCTACAAAAGTGCATAACCTGCGGATTATATGCTGCACAGACATTGAAGGAAATATTCTTATAATAAAAGTGTGACTTGCCGTTCTTTGAATGGAGTGCAATATGAAGTGTCGTCCTAAACCCTTACAGTTGTAACTGGTCACCGTCTTATTGTTGCCCATCGTTGCCAACTCCGAGGAAAGATTATTCCCAATTTCTGTCTTAAAAATTCCCAAGATCAACTTAAAATTCCCCATATTTATGGTATACTGAAAACACAGTAAAAGGCGTTTTAAATTGATATCAACTTTTAAAAACAACTAAATAGTATTCATTTTCAATATCTAAAAAGGGAAATTTCCTTGACAATGATTGATCTGAAATAGATTCGATTTAAATCATGAATACATCTTAGTCGAAATATAATTTATGGCAAAAATTGTTAAGAATTTTAGTAAATTTCATTGTTTTTCAGTGCAATTAAAAAAAATATATCAAAAAGTTTTAAATTTCCCAGAAATACCCCAATTTTCATTCAATTCCCCATTCCCAATTGGTCTAGAAATTCCCCAGATTTCCAAAAAATGGGGAAAAATTCCCCCGGTTGGCAACGCTGATGAGTGTTGCCATGGAATAAGCCTAGTATAGAAAAACAGACTGGGGTTCTTGCATGGAATGTTGGACCCACTGACACTGCATGTTCAAAGCGTGATAGACCCAATACCAGTTGCTTGACTGGGTTTCTGTATTTAGACCACAGGGAGTAGAGTAAGGACAAGTCAGTTGCCCGCCAGCTCTCACCAGGAGAGGATGAAGAAATTCACCAACTCCCTACAGTGGTAGGATGGACAATCTTAGAAGCAGTCAGTCCAAAGAAATGGAAACTGCTTGATTGGATCGGAGCTGTGGGAAAAACAACATATGTTGCTAGAGGAGATATGTTGCTAAAGGAGATATGTTTCCAGAGGAAACATGTTGCTGGTGGAGATATGTTGCTGGTGGAGATATGTTGCCAGAGGAAATATGTTGCTAAAGGAGATGCCATGTCAAAGAGGGTGTCTAGCAAAAGGAGGTATCTAGCTCAAAGGAGATATCTAGCCAAAGGAGGTATCCAGCCAAAGGAGAAACCCATCTCTGAGTACAGGAGACCCTAACATGTGACTCTGGATGGACTGTGGTAGCAGTATATCTATATTGATTTAGTTTTTTTATTTCTTTCATTTTGTTTCGCTTTAATATAATGTTTAACTACTTAGTTGCTTTATGGCCGGGTGTGAGACTTAAAGACTACTAGAATATTGATATCCCCCTTTGGATGGTTTCTTTCATATTTGTTGCATAACATTATATCTAACGATACGCCACAATGTCCCTTTAAAACCATCAAATCCATAATTCCCAAATCCGCCGATTAATTCCCAAGTGTGTTACAAGAGATTTAAAACTAATTTACATCAAAAACTTTAAAACCTAATAAAATGTCAAAAGATTAAATTCAAAATAAAGTCTTTAGACTAACTTTGGAGGGTGTTTTTATAGCAATAAAATAATAAGGGAAAAATGGAACCACAAAAAAGTATTAAAGACAATGAAAGAAGATTAAGACAATTGTATTAATAGACTGGAAAGATATTTAGGTCAGATTAAATAAGGAGTAATATATATCTATACACATTTATTTTTTATTATATTATATTATTATGCAAAGAATATATAAAAATATCTTTCACACACAATAAGAGAGTTTGGGAAATGCAAGAAGTTTCATGATTATTTTTCATGAATTATTAATAAATTAATGCAATTTTTACATAAAACAAAGACAATCTTAGAGTTGTCTCTTCAGTTTCTTAGGGAACCCTGCATTTTATTTGCCATTAAAAGGTTGACTTGACAGCAATAATTAACATTATTTTCATCTTTATTATTATTTTAATTGTTATTGTTATTATTACTATCATCTGCATTGTAAGTATTAAAGGCATACAGAGTGATAAGCAGAAAACAACTGAATAGGAAGACGACATTAAAGAAAAAAACTATTTGTATTAAGTGTTTTACTAGACACTAAATAAATCAGTCTCTAATTAAGTCAAATTGGGCTGTTTACACTTCACAATCGCTATGTCTAATGCTCATTGGATTTTCAAAATCATAACTTGATTCTAAAAGTCGATTTCCTATTTCAGAGTTTTCTGGTTTTCACTGTTTTCTATTATCTGTCTGTATTGCCATATCTATTTCGCATTTAACCACAAACAAAATAAAATAAAAAATATTTTCTTTCACTTCTACCAACTCTACCAACGCTATTTAATATAAATATCATAATTAAGTTTAAACAATTTATTTCAATTTAAATAAAAAGTTTCAAGTTTAAAAACAATTTCTCTGGATGAATTTAATCTTCTTGGAACTGAACTCTCAGATTATCTTAATCCTAAATAGATTTGTATTAAAGAAGAATTTCTTTCAGTCTTCATTATGCATTCATCTAATCAGTTTCCAATGTTTTCGCCCTGTAAATAAACTGAGTTTTTGCCACAAACTCAGAATTTCATAACTGGCTGCAAACTGATATTTTAATCTTAGATATTTGGTTCAACAGAATTCATAGTTTGTAATCTCAAAGGTCTACAACATTGGAGTGAAATATATAGGGATTGGAAAATCAGAGTTTGTGACAATGACTCATTCCTTTATCCTGTAAATTGGGTCGAACAGAATTTGTTTAAAATATCGAAGATCAACAAAATTGAGTTGCAAAGACATCGGAATTTAGAAAATTAGAGTTCTAATTTAAATATAGATTATTTTGTTAAGCACTGATTTGTATCTTAGGTAGCTCAACAAGAATTAAGTTTTGTTTTTAAATCCAACCAATAAAAGCCACAAAACATTGGTCCCAATCAAAAAGTTCAGCTGTTTTTTTTTACATATTAGGAACTTAATCCACGAGAGTAAAAAGTTTTGACCATGAAGGTAAGGTGTAACACTTACATTTTAGCGCTATTTATACAAACAGAAGTTTCAACCTCCCCTATCAATCAGACTTTTAGGGACGCCCTATGGCCACATCTCAATATCACAATAACGTTTACTAAGCTAAGATCGAGATAAGAGTTTACAATTTGCAAATAAAACTATTAAGTCCTTTTATTAAAATTCTGCTTTTAATAATCCATTTATTATTCAAATTTTGATATTTTGACAGGCTACCCATCTTAGCTTCTAACCGTGATCTCAGTCTTAATTGTCTAAATGAGATCGGTGGTTTTAACCTCCCTGTTTCAACAAAATTAAATTTAGTATTTACTTTAGTTTGGCTTGACTAGTTCCCAGTATCTCTGGTATCTCCTGGAACTCTTGGAGAATAATCTTCTCAAGTTCTTCAGCTCGCTCTACCTTTCCTCCTAACCATCATCAGTCTTCATATTTGCTCTTTAAAAGTGACCTTTTTAACACTGCATGATTGAGAATATTTTAGTTTTCTTACAAAAAAACGGAGACCTTAGCAACTCGATTATACAATGTACTTGTGTTCACATGGATGCCACTNGGAGTCTACTATGAAGAGATATATTTTGATATTTGTTTTGTTAAGCCAATAAATTTAAACAAAAAATAAAAACAACAAGCGGAGACCAAAATGCGGGGCGTGGAGACAGAATGGCGGAAGGCTTGGTGACGTCACTGAGGCTGGGAGACCAGTTTTGCGGGGCCTGGAGGTAATTCTGCAAATCGTGAGGTTCGGAGATCATTTTTGCGGGGATCATGGCGCCTCTGCAACCCCTCCCTCGTCGAGGAAAGGTTCTTTGACACAAACTCAAATTTTCTGTTCCTTATTTCTTTCCAACCTGATGGTGTAAACCTTTGATATTTTAAAATAAGATTTTTTAGTCGTACAGAATTCATATTTTAAAATGTTTAAGGTCTACAACATTGGGTTGCAAAGATATAAGAATTAGAAAATCAGTTTGTGGCAAAGACTTAAAATACGTTGACGAATAGACTTTTTCTTTGAAAATTATTCTCGAAAATTGACATTTTTAATTGTATCAGCATTTAATTATTAAATAAAAGCAATTTTTAAACAATTTTGTATTTAGTTTTTAACTCTTATTTAATCCTGTGGTTACTGGGTATATCCTATTTTACTTCGGAATAACTCATATTTTATTTTGTAATGGTTAGGTTCTACTTTCGTAGAATCCTTCATCATCAGCCTATGGACGGGTTACTGCTATACATATACATCCCAGATCTATTTTGAATTAAGAATCTGGTAAATTATGGATCCAATGAACCAGGCAAGAAAAATTCTCCCAAAAAAACCTTCTTTGAACTATTGGATATAATACCTAAAATGATCATCCTATTCAAATTATGTTAAAGTAAACTTATATAGATTAGGCTGAAAGGAGAAGAGAAAGAACCAGAAAAACGTGTAAATAGGACCATTAGGTTTTATCGGATGGAGGCTACATATCATTTATCAGAACCGTTATCATTTGAACAAGTAGGGATGGTCAAATCATGAATGGGAAGAAGTAGGGGTGATAAAATTTTGAATGGGAAGAGGTAGGGATGGTCTAATCATGAATAGGAAAAGTAGGGATGGTTAGATCATGAATGGGAAAGATGGTTACATCATTAATGGTAAGAAGTACGGATAGTTAAATTATGAAAGGGAAGAAGTAGGGATGGTCAAATCATGAATAGTAAAAAGTGGAAAGGGCTAAAGCATGAATAGGAACAAATAGGGATGGTTAAATCATGAATGCCATTCGAACAAGTAGGGATGGTTAGATCATGAATGGGAAGAAGTACGGATGGTTGAATAATGAACGAGAAAAATAGGAAAGAATAAATCATGAATGGGAATGGGAATAAGTAGGGATGATCAAATCATGAAAGGGAAGCATTAGGGATGGACAGATCATAAATGGGAACAAGTAGGGATTGTTAAATCAAAAATGGGAACAAGTAGGGATGGTTAAATCAAAAATGGAAACAAGTAGGGATGGTTAAATCAACGACGGGAACAATTAGGGATGGTTTAATCATAAATGGGAACAAGTGGGGATAGTCAAATCAGGAATGGGAACAAATAGGGATGGTTACAAAATGAATGGGAAAATTAGGAATGAATAAATCATGAATGGGAAGAAGTAGGGATGGTTAAATTATCAATGGGAAAAGTAGGAATGAATAATTCATGAATGGGAATAAGTAGAGATGATCAAATCTTGAGAGGGAAGAAGTAGGGATAGTCAAATCATGAATGGGAAGAAGTAGGGACAGTAAATCATGAATGGGAAGAAGTGGGGATAGTCAAATCATAAATGGGAAGAAACAGAGATGCTTATATCAGGAATAGAAACAAATTAGGATGGTTGAATCATGAATGGGATGAAGTAAGGGATTGTTAAATCATGAATGGGATGAAGTAAGGGATTTTTAAATCATGAATGGGAATAAGTAGGGATGGTCAAATCTTGAATGGAAAGTAGGGATAGTCAAATCATGAATGGGAAGAAGCAGGGATGGTTAAATCATGAATGGTAAGAAGTAAGGGATTGTTAAATCATGAATGGGAAGAAGTAGGGATTGTTAAATCATGAATGGTAAGAAGTAAGGGATTGTTAAATCATGAGTGGGAAGAAGTAGGGATGGTTAAATCATGAATGGGATGAAGTAAGGGATGGTTAAATCATGAATGGGATGAAGTAAGGGATGGTTAAATCATGAATGGGATGAAGTAAGGGATGGTTAAATCATGACTGGGATGAAGTAAGGGAGAGGCGTAAAGTGCTTTGTACTTTTGAAGTAAATCTTTTGTACGAAGTAAATGTGGAAAAATACTGATTTTGTTCTTTTATTTCTGTTCCTTAACGATAAACATTTCCAGTTGGATAGATATAGAAGTAAACAACTCTGTCATCTTTAACAAAGAAGAAAGAAACAAAAACACATTTTAATGCCAGGTTGNTGCTCCAGCTTTGATTAATTAGGGGGTTCTGCCACAGTAAATTATCGGTGAAGATTTTGGGGGGGGGGATGGAATAATATTGCGGAACCATTTAATTGCACTGTACTAGAATAACCAATCTTTCTTTCTTTATTAACCAGAATTTATAACTTTTGTTTACTTTAAATAGACAACCTTAATAATTGAGAACTAACCAATTACAGTAAGCACTGCACTGACCAAATACAGGAAGCACTGCACTGAAAAATTACAGGAAGTACTGCACTAAAAAATTACAGGAAACACTGAACTGACCAATTACAAGAACCACTGCACTGACCAATTACAGAAACCATTGCACTGACCAATTACAGAAACCATTGCACTGACCAATTACAGAAACCACTGCACTGACCAATTACAGAAACCACTGCACTGACCACTTACAGAAACCATTGCACTGACCAATTACAGAAACCACTGCACTGACCAATTACAGGAACCAATGCAGTGACCAATAACAGGAACCACTGTACTAACCAATTACAGAAACCACTGCACTAACCAATTACAGAAACCACTGTACTAACCAATTACAGAAACCACTGCACTGACCAATTGCAGGAAGCACTGCACTGACCAATTACAGAAACCACTGCAATGACTAATTACAGGAAGCACTGCACTGACCAATTACAGGTAGCACTGCACTTACCAATTACAGGAAGCACTGCACTGAGATATTACAGGAAGCACTGCACTGACCAATTACAGGAAGCACTGCACTGACCAATTACAGGAAGCACTGCACTGAGATATTACAGGAAGCACTGCGATATTACAGGAAGCACTGCACTGAGATAGTACAGGAAGCACTGCACTAACCAATTACAGGAAACATTGGTCAATTCCGATGAAAACCATTCTGTTTAAAATCTGCATAGTTGTGAAGAAGTGGTTCAACTACTTTTGTAGAGAGCAGAGAAAAGGCCTTTCTTCCAGAAATTGAACAAAAATAGATGTTTAACTTTTAGTTAAAGAAACAGTCGACGTAACTTTAATTGACCCTTAATCTAAGACAGGGCATGCCCGATTCACAATGGTACACTTGCAATTTTGTCTGAAGAAAGATATTCTAGTTTTACTATTTTTCTAATCGATAATTTTATATTGTGAATTGCCAGGTGCGGAATTGTGCAGTAGAGGGGGGGGGGGGGCAATATTTAAAATTTTATGAAGAATATTTCCTTTTCCAACTTTTATTTGAACTTTGACAAAATCTCCTTTTATCAACCATTTCTTGATCTGAGTCAATCTAAACCTAGAGAAATAAATAGATTAGATGAATAAGATAGATGAGATAAATAAAATAGATTATATAAATAAAATATCTTTGATAAATAAAATAAATAAAAGTGATTATATGAGTAAAATATATTGGAAAAATAAGAAAGATGTAATAATTGAGATAAATTATATAAATAAGATTAATGAGATAGATTAGATATATAATATATGTATGATAGATAAGATAAAGATTTACTAAATATACAAGATATGTTAGATAAATTTAGAAACATAAGATTATAGAACTAAGAAAAATTCGACAATTAAGACGGATAAGATAAATCTGATAATTAGATAATTGATAAAATAAATAAATAAGATGGATTAAATTTTTAAGATATATTAGATAAATAAGATAATTTACAAAATTAAGCTTAAACAATACAAAACTTGATAAATAAGATGGATTATATAAAAAATTAATTTGATATCAATATACATCTAGCTTTCAGAGGAGTAACAACTGGCTCTGGCTTGGCGCTCCCTAGAGTACTCAGAGATACAGGGTGAGAGAGAGAAAATGGCAAACTAGAAAAACTTTAGCCAGGGGTGTACAGGGGGTATACACCCCTGCACACCCAAGCACACAAAATGGAAAGGAAATAAACGGAACTACAAGAAACATTGAAAGCCTGCATTAAACTGGAGAATGGAGTTTTTTTACCTAGCTGGATCGAGATTTTGCTTCTGGCAGCTTTAAATAAACTCCTTAATAACAAGCCTGGTTAGCTGTTATTAAGTATCCGTACTCTTCGGAAAGACGTTAAATCTTTCGATTGAATCTGGTTCAATGTGTGTAAGCATCAAGGTAGCTAAGAACAGTCAAGTTCTTATACAACTTTCTCCAGTTTCTTGTGCCTGAACAGAACCCTGTGTGGAATAACATGGCAGTACACCCTACTTGAAAACAAAGAAAATAATAGTGCAGAGATGGAGTGGGGGTGGGTTCTCTCCTCTACCCCTTTCCTCTTGCTAGAAATAAGGAAAATGGAAACATATAAAGTAGAATCCTGATAGGTTTTGCACCATGCACTATTATACCAGTTTATAATCTGTCGGCTGCAAGGAAAAGATTGCTGTAGACAAGGCCGTATTCTGAAGCACTGTGTCCGAGATAAACTTACAAGAATCAAGATTTTTTTTGTCGAAAATATCCACTCCTTTTCTAAACTTTCTTATCCCATTTGCAATTATTAGGGCGGAATTTTGACACAATGAATATCCTCAGAATTTTCAAACCCCCATTTGTGCAGTGACTTTTTTTCAACCTGCAAGAGTATTGAGGAAATGAGTTCTAAGATTAACAGTTGCAGAGTCAGACATTCCATATAACAAATATTGAAAAATGCAAATTCATCTGATATCTACTCCTCACTTTCTTGATGAAAGTACAAAATACCTTAAATCATGTTCTGAAATTTTAGCAGATAGTTCTAATGCTTTCTGCTTAATCCGTCCCTCTTCAGTTTCTAATATCTCCTGAAAACTTTCAATGTTATATTTTCTAGAAAATCATTCCTCAATACACATCAAAATCTATTCCCTGGGGCCCGATGATGAATAGACATTTAAAAAGATTTTTTTATCAATCAATGATTTAGAATAAAATGAAAAATGTTTTTTTTCAACAAAGGATTTAAAGGTTCACGAGATTTATTTCAACAATTAATTTCTTCCTAAACAACCTTTAGTTTTGTTCAATAAAAAACATGAATCAATAGTCTATCCACCTTACTTCCAAGGTAAGCAGTCTCATTCTTCTGTTTTCTGAGGGCTATCTGAAAAATAAATACAATGGTAAAAATTTCATAGAATTCCCCATTTTCTGGGAAGAAGGGGAAGTTACTCTTTAAGATGTTTGGAGGGAGAAGAAGTAATATAAAAGATGAATGTTGATTTTATTTCAACAAAAATTTATTTAATTTTTTTCCCATTTCCGTGATATAAATGCTTTCATCATTCTGGAAAACAATAATTTTAAATCTTTAAATACCTCTAGAAATCAAAATGTTAAAGTTTTGTTATTTTCATTAAAATGTTTTGACACAATTCTTATAATTAATCTATTTTACTTTTTAGAACAAAACTTTAAATATTTTTCAGCAGTGACAAATGGAAATTCTCGGCAAGTTAAAAATGTTAGAAAGTTTGAAAGTTATGTCCCACTTTCCCTCTTTTGAACTCAATATAATAACCTTGTCAAAATCTGTTATAGTTCATTTTATCATAAATCATATTTAAATAACACAATTTTATGATTTTAAAAGGTTTCATAATGTAATAATTGCCAGTTGTATGAAGTCATACAAGTAAGCCCAGAAATATGCAAGGAAATATAGAAATCTAAGAGAAAATCTAGAAATATGAAAAGAAAACTAGCAATAGAAAAGGAAATCTAGAAATATGAAAGAAATCTAGAAATTATTATTATTATTAAAGGACAACCCATCATTCAATGAAATAGGGGTCGGCGCTCCTAGCCGCCGAAACGCATCCATGGGTTGACCGGACCGTGTCACCCTAGGTAGAAGACTTACACTAGAAATAGAAATAGAGAAGGAAATCAAGAAATATAAATTTAGAAATATGAAAGAAAATCTAGAAATGGGAGAGGAAATCTAGAAATAGAAAAAAGGAAATCTGGAAATAGAAAAGGAAATCTAGAAATATAAAAGGAAATCTAGAAATATGAAAGGAAATCAAGAAATAGGAAAGAAATCTAGAAATGAGAAAAGAAATATAAAAATAGGAAAGGAAACAAGAAATATGAAGGAAACTCTATAAATACTGAAATAGGAAAAGAAATTTAAAAATTAAAAAAAAAAATATCTAGAAATAAAATAGGATTTTTGTGAATATGGCATTTTACACCTCTAGGACATGGTATGGGTGATTCTGTATTTGTCCGAACTACACTGCAGGACTATAGATAAGTATTTGAATCGACGGTTGGTAGTTCAGCGAAATGACTTAAATTCATTAAATTGGGTCCCTCACTGTTCGTTAACCTCTAAATCAACATCAGACATGATTTTAAAATGAGGAATATCTTCCTTCTTCTTAGTTCGAACTATTCTCACTAGATGTCTCTCACCAACCTAAATAAAAAAATGAAACACTCCCAAATTAATTTTCTAAACCCTCTATTATTGTAATCTCGTGGTTTATATCTTTACTAATTATTTACAACTACTTTACAGGGAAGTTAAGGGAATTTTACTTTACCAAGGGTTCCCGAGACCAATTTTCTCCATTTTCTGAAAAAGTAGTTGTTCCTTCATGGAGATGAGATGCGCTAATTTTCATATGAAAACTTTGCACAGCGAGTGGTAATTTTACGTAATTGTCCCATTGTTAAGAGAAAATATTTGTTGATAATTTTATCTAAAAGGCGGTATTTATCAAAGGTTACAACATACATTAGGTTGCAAATATATGATTAGAAAATTATAATTTGAGGCTAATTAATGCACAGTACAGTTCCTTTGTATTCTTATTAAATTAAAAATAATTAATTATTAAATATTAATTTGCATTGAATAAAGCAATATATTTAATATTTATTTAACGTAAAATATCTACAAAATCATTGTTTGAAATATTGAATATTAATCTTAAAATTTACAACAAAAAAATATTTTTAGTCTGCAAATTTTAAAATATTTGATTTGTTTCTGGAATAATCTTTAAAAAAAGTCTAAATATAAATTATGTGCGCCGTTAGTCAGGTACATCGATTCAATTTCTCGGAAAGCTTGGTTCGAAAGTTTTCAAAACAAAAATTATGAATTTTTAACAAAAATAAATTTTTCAAAACAGTGCCCTTTGAAAAAAAAAGATAAGGTTTTGGAAATCATTTGAACAGATTTTTAAAAGCTAAAGTGGATTTGAATTTTGAGAGACAAGAACATGAAAAAAATTGAATTTTTTCAAAGGGTTCTATAAATTTTTTTACATTTGGGATCCTGAAAAGTAAAAACAAGAAGAAAAATCTTTGAGAAACGTAAAACCAAAAAAAAATTATTAAAGGAAAAAAATATAAGAAAAAATAATTTTTCAAAAAGTTGTGTACTAAGTTTTAAAAATGGTGAAATCGGGGTTTAATAATTACCTTTTCTAAAAGCTCCTTGTATTCCATTGTTGTTTGTTTTTGTTTAGAATCTACGAAAACGACCATAGTGTCAGGTGTAAGATCAGAACTGTCTACCTTAACATAAGGCCTTGAGAGGACATGTTTCCTAGTTCACGAATCCTGCCTCCTCCCCCATATTATTTTTTTTAAATATTTATGATACTTCCCCAGTCGGGTTTAGCAGTAGTACTCAGCCCAACCCATTAAACTTGCCCTTGCCGCGACGCTCGGCCCCAAAGGGACTGGTGGAGATATCCTATTTGACGATTGAGGGAAGGGGGGGGGGGCTCCCTGCCTTAATTTTTGGTTAAAATCTTCCAATTTTTTGGCTGCATCCCTAATTTGAGTCAAAATTCCTAAAATAAAAAAAATGGACACGAATGACTTCTAATGACTTCTAATGACCTGTAATGATCCCTAATGACCTCGACAAATAGAAAATGTTTTAACTATGACTTTATGCATATTAAACGAAAGCGTTGAACCCAGGGAATACAGTAGCAGGGGTCAAAAAAGGTCATTAAGGTCAATAGAGGAAATAAGTGTACAATATTATTTTATGTTAGGAAATTTGAACTCAAAATAGACATGCAGCCATAAAATTTGAAGATTTGAACCAAAAATTAAGGTTGGGACTCCCCTCCCCTTCTCCACCATCCGATATTTCTCAATCTAACTTTACATTTTCTACTGTAAGCGATAAGTCTATTAAAAAAATGCTGAACTCATCTAAATCTATATAATAAGACAAGAAATTTATATGTTGTCTATAGCCGGCTAAACGGCTGGACCGAATGGGCAGAATTTTTTGTGGACACTCATGGCTAGCCGGATGTGTTATTGGCTAAAAAATCGATTTTTTATTTTTCTATTTTTTTTTCTATTTTCAAAATTTAAATTTTTTAAAATTTTTTTATTTTATTCCACGGGCAACGCCGTGCCGGGCCCTTCAGCTAGTCTATCGTAAATGCTGTTAAAATTTCTGTTCTCAAAAAAATTTTTGTAAATAAAAATAAATTAACTGACCACAAGTTATTTGAGGCGTATTCAGAAGGGCTATGGTTTCTAGAAGGTTTTTAGGCACCCGGCCCCCCAAAAATATTCTTGAACAAATTCCTTAATACTCTCCTGCAAGTATTACCTGCTGTTTTCTGCTGTAAAAAAGTGCCGAGCTATTAAAGGTCCTCTGTGGAACAAATGGCGGAATTGAGCGATTCAGAGAAATATTCGCAGAAAGGAAAGACGATTGATTGCAAAACCAAAACCGTTCTACACAAGGCATATTGTTACAAAATAATGATTAAGAAAGCTGTTAATAAAAAATCATGCAGAAGTTTCTTGTCGGCGACGTCTTAAGAACCTCTGTTAAGGTACTGACTTCCTTTAAGTGATATTTCGACCTGGGTCAATCCACTTTACTCCACTTCTGACCTACGCCAAATCGCTATACTACACACCAGACCTACTAGTGCGCTATATGGACTTGTGTCCGCAGCTCCCGTACCCTAGCCGCAGCGCTTCGCCCAGAAATGGTATTAACCTTACCTAACCCTCAAATAATACAAAAATAAACAGCTGGCGCAGGTCCGATATTGCAGTAGGTCAGAAGTTCAGTAGGGGGGGATGATGCGTATTGACGATGTAACATTACCCCTTTAAGTATGCCAGACAAGTTTCAATTTTTACGCAGTATGTCTGATTTCATGGTTCAAACGCTCTATTCGAATATAGATGGAAAAACGCGTTAAATAGCATGGCAAAATGTGTAAATTATAATTTTCCGTAGCATCATCTTATAGCGTTAAAATTAGCTTGCTAGTTGTTCAGAATTCATAATTTTAAAATAGGCAGACATTTCTCTTTTTGACAAAACCCACCATCGTTAAATTTACATCAGAACTGGATTTCTTCGGTTTTTTAAAGGAGTGGGCCCAAGAGCTCAAACGGTTAAAAAGGTGTTTTTATAAAGTTTGTATAAATGCAAGCTGCCAAGTAGAATATCAATTTATCTGAGTGCTTTTTTTGCATTGTAAGGTTTGGGAAGACACTCCCTTTAATCTAATTTTAGAAGTACTGTTGCTTGACGAGATCAAAGTAAAAGTAGACAAAAGGTTTAAATCGAATAAAAAACAATTAATTTGTGCCTTTATTAAGAACTCTAAAAGCTGCACAAACAAGTCTTCTCCCGGTCATTTTAAATCTGAAAATTAAAAAGCTTTCATCATCTTTTATTGAATTCTAAGTAGTCGAATAAAAACAAATAAACCTGAAATTTTAACCGTACATAATAATACAAATAATTTCAACATACGGCAGCATTCTATATCTATTATTTAAACCATTAATAATAAAATCACGAATAAAATAAAAAATTCGGTATTTTTATATCAAATAAAAGCGCTGAATGTAGAAGAAAAGTTGCTGTATATGATGTCAAAATCAATATTTTAGATCACAGCTCATCAAATCTTTTTGTAAAAGTTAAAAACAAACCGAAAAACTCCCCAGGTGGCTGAAAAAGGTAAAAAAGTAGTTTATCAAGAATTGTTAATTTGTGACCACAAAATATTGATCCAATCAGCTGTTGGACTTGGTGGACGCACAAGATTGCCAGGACAGGATTTTACATGCTTCAATTATATTTTTTTAGATTTAAAATAAAAACTAAAATTAACTTAGAAAAAATAGGGGTTATCATCTAGACTGTAATGAATATTCAAATAGTAGTACACAAAAAACCTTCTTGTTCAAAAATGCCGTAAATCCTAAATTGCTACTATTGGCGGGTAATCTGCTGGTTTATTCTAGATAACACAAACAATAGATTTTAGACACGAAACACGAAGCAGTTGTAAAGTATAAAAATAAAATGAATCTAAATCACAAACATCAAATCACAATGGATCAAAAGCTCTTTTTCGCAATAATAAAAACTTAATCCAAGGATTTTATCTCCTTTCCTCTCTGCCTCCTTTATACAATTATATGAACCCACTTTATAATATTTTTTAAATTTTGCTCAACAAATTCTGCTTCTTTGTAAAATACAAAACTTTTATCATTTATTAGTGAACAAAAAATGCAGAAAAATAGAAAAAATATTTGTTTATAAAGATAATTCTTAAATGTGAAATATCAAAATCTAGAAATGACAATAGTAGATTATAAAACTATCAACGAAACGTCTAATAAAAAATGGCCAGGTTACATAATGATCACTAATGGACATTTCTTGAACTTGTTTTAATAAAAACGTAAAAATTTAAGTTGAATGGTGAACAAATAGTTAAATTATGTTCTAACTAGCTTGGGAACCTAGCGCTGCCCATCTTATTAAAATGTACTCCACCGTTTACCCACACTTGTCCGATTTAACTGTGAAACTTTTTAGCTTTTTAATTCGACACACTCAAATTAGAATCTCAAAACCAAGCTAAGAACATTCCCGTGGGTCTCCCAAATTCCCCAATAAAATTTTTTTTGCAATTATAATCGAACAAACAAACAGACAGACAAAAAAAAGATTCTAACATTATAAAAATAGAAAAGTTAATAATATTTGTCAAGAATTTAATTATAATTGATTCCTGAGATATTTAATTCTATCTTGAACACCTCTCATCTCATTCTGGATATTCGAAATCTCAAGGATACTCTCTACACTCATACTAAACCATTTCTAAATAATAATAACAAATTTATTGATAGTCATGATAATAATGATAGTCATGATTGATAACCTTGATAATGATAATGATAATAATAATGATAATGATAATGATAGTCATGATAACCTTGATAATGATAATAATAATGATAATGATAATGATAATGATAATAATGATAATAATAAAGTAATCTATATAATAAAAAAAGACATTCATACATATATATATGTTTTTTATAGCCGGCCAAACAGCTGGACCGAATGGACTGAAATTTGTTGTGGACACTCTGTCGTCAATCAATGTTCTTTTCTTCTTTTGATTCACCCCATAGTTGACCAACCTCTCCATGCTGAATTCAACCGAGAAATGCAGTTTTGTGAATTAAAAAAAAAAAAAATCGCGGATTTTCTTGTAAAAATTAGAACATTTTCTTCCTTCTCAAGAATAAAAAAATTCTACATTTTGAACGTTCTACCTTTTGTAATTCTACCTTTTGTTTATTCTACCTTTTGATCGTTCTTCCTTTTGATTGTTCTACCTTTTGTCATTCTACCTTTTGTAATTCTACCTTTTGTACGTGAGCCGCTGTTACAGGCTAAAAAAATCGTGTTTTTTCAACACTTTTTTTCAAACTTTTTTATTCTTGATTTTTTTATATTTTTTTTATATATATATTTGTCAGCAATAGCTGGCCAAACGGCTGGACCAAATTGGCTGAAATATTATGAGGAAACCAGTTGGTACCCCGTGGGTAACATAGGCTAAAAATAATCGATTTTTTTCTTCTTTAAAATTCGAAATTTTAAAATTTTTGAAATTTATTTAAAATTCCATGGACAACGCCAGGCACTTCTGTAAGCAAAGTAATAATAAAAAAAATAATAATAAAAGTAAGAATAAGAAGTAAGATTAAGAAGCAAGAATAAGAAGTAAGAATAAGAAGCAAGAATAAGAAGTAAGAATAAAGAGTAAGAATAAGAAGTAAGGAGAAGAAGTAAGGATAAGAAGTAAGGATAAGAAGTAAGGATAAGAAGTAAGGATAAGAAGTAAGGATAAGAAGTAAGGATAAGAAGTAAGGATAAGAAGTAAGGTTAAGAAGTAAGGAGAAGAAGTAAGGAGAAGAAGTAAGGAGAAGAAGTAAGGAGAAGAAGTAAGGATAAGAAGTAATGATAATAATAATAATAATAATAAAAATGTCTGACCTGAGATTTCTTGAGAGGATCTGGTGGCATGAATCCGAACCAACGGATTGGATCTACACACAAACTTTTCTCAGGAACAATTTCTTCAATTCCACTTCCGGGTTTCTCCTCGCATTTCCGGAGTCTAACACCCTCGGGTACTTCTACACCGGAAGTAGAAGGATCAGCGAGGGAGAAATAGTTGTAACGGACATTTCCGTCACCCCTGGATAAATATATAGATGTAAATTCTAAAAGAGACTGTTAGCATAATCTTAAGTGACCCACTCCAATACTTTAGAATGTGGAACATCAAGCTGTTTTTCTGTATTTAAACGTGATCAATTCTTTCCTTCTTGTATATTTAATAAATACGAATGTCACTTTATATAGAAACGCATTATGAAATAATCAATTTTAAGAAAATAAAATAACAATAATTTACTCGGATGCAGGATTAAAGTGTACTGTTGGGAATCTGGCATGCAAACAGGGGTCAATTGAAATTTAGTCGACACTCCCTTACAGATCAGGGAGTAAGGAATAGAAGGGATATATAACTGACGCGGTTCGCCCTACCATATGATTATACATGCTTTGCAGACGGTACTCCATTTGAATAAGAAATATTTGTCTGATGTACATTTACTGCGTATACAATAACCCATTCTGAATATTTCTTATACAAATGAAGTACTGTCTGCAAAGCATGTAAAATCATATGGTAGGGCGAACCGCGTCAGTTGTATCTCCCTTCTATTCCTCACTCCCTGTTACAGATTAAGAGTTTAAGTAAAGTGGTTGCAGAGCACGTCAAACTATAGTAAATTTCACGTTAGATTGAAGTCTCCCATGTTTTTAGATAGAACCGCTTTATTGAAAAGAAGAAAATGTTTAGAATGTCTGATATGTATTTCTCCTACTTGTGCATACAATCAATACTAGAGGAGATACGAGGTCACATAGTTGTACCAGTAATGGGTAAGGGTTGTTCACAGTTTACTGTGACGTTTTCCTGCTCTTACTAGGAAAACAACCCTTAAGTAACTGTTTACAATAAAACTTGGACAAGTCCCTTTCGCAAATTCTTGAGTCTTAGGAATAAAGATTCAATTTCAATTTATTTAAAAAAACAACATAAAATTTAAATGATTTGCACTAACTCAACTTGATGAGAAAAAGAATAGTTTAAATTCTGCAAAAAATAGTTTAAATTCTGAATAAATTATATGATGCAAAACTTCCCTCCTCCTCTATCCAATTCCCATCTGATTAAGTTGATGGGCTTGGGAGATATTTAACAAAGAGAAATTCCAGAAATGCATTTAATTTGAAAAAAGCAAGTTACAGCTGTTTAAATAATTTATTTAAAGTTAATTTTTTAGTTTGATAAAAGTAAACTGAAACTATGTCATTAAATCATTTATTTAAAAGTTGATTTTCCTAAGTATATTTAATTTTTTTGTGCAAAATTTCCGAAATTTAGCTTTTCTAGGCAATGCATTTTAGAATGGAAAATATTGTAAATACACAAAAAAACACCAATTGTGGTAACATGATCAAAAAAACATGACATAAAAGTTGTAAATAGAACTGTAACTAAAATGTTTTTCTTTTATATAAAATGTGGCTTTTATCTCTGAAACTACTTAAAGTCTGATTAAACTGGTTCTAAATATCTTTATGCATAATTTCAAATAAAGATAACATTTCAATCCAAGGAACAGTTATACTGCCCACCCATGCTCCTCATTTGTTGAATTTTGTGAGTTTATGATTAGTTTAAAATTATACATATATATATTTATATAGATATATATGCAGGTAGCGTTTAAAGGGACTGTATTCGTAATTCCAGGGGACCCTCTATGCAAAGATGGAGATTACCATTTTACAGCATGGCATCATTAAAATCTTTATATGATTAGGACTAGGTATGAATTGGATATTCATGGTTTTTTAAACTGTTTAGTTTTCTTTATGGTTCCTCTGCGAAAGGGACATCCGCATTTCTTGTCCATAAAAACCAATGGAGAAATTGTCAGAATAACACACTTTTCGAGTCATAAAAACGACGTTATTTTACACATTTTGCCAGATCAAGGTTTCAAGGGTACCGTTGTAAATCGGCATTGCCATCCTTGTACAGAGGGTCACTTGAAATTACGCTTAAGGTCCCTTCAATGTACTATGTACATATGGAACAAAGGGCCAATGGCCATCTTACCTAAGGCATTCACTTCGGAATATTTGTTTTGATGCTAGAACCGGTTTCTCCTGCTCAGCTGAGGGTAATTGAATTGCACTGACATACATAAACATTTTATCAAGAATAAATTCAATTGGTCCAATTCAGACAATTCAATAAAATTTTATGAAATCCATAAAAATTTCAGAAATAAAATCCTGGAAAATTCTTGGGAAGTTTTAAAAACAACTCTTGGAAAATTTTACAAATAATCCGTAAAAACTGTAGAAAGAAGATCCGGGAAAGTTGCAGAACTAATTTGTGAAAAAATGAGGTTAATATTCCTGACAGATGCAGGACCAAGGATATATCTTGCTTTCGCCATCTCCATCCAACCAGACTAAAATATGCTAATTAAAAGCTTTATTCCAACGAGGGAGGGAAGGCAACCTCACACACACAACTTCCAAACCTCATTCTACCTATTTTCGGCAGTGCGCGTCCCCAGAGGGCTTCCGAACCTCCCCCAAAAATGTCTTCCGGGTATGATCTTCCATTTATAATCGTCAATTTTTACCTAAAACGGGACTAATTCGATTTTTTAAGCAGTAGCCCATCTATAGTATCCTTAACATTTGCATAATATTTTCTTTTATTTTTTACAATCACAGATCGGAGAGAAACGAGATTTTATTTTAAGATTTTTATCAAGAAATCTTGGAAAGGCTCGGGCGTTTGTTAGGAATAGCAATTTTCCTAGTTATTGAGATATTTAAAGAAAACAAACTTGATTTTAACCTAAGGATTTTAAAACTATTGGGGCCTTTATTTTTACAAGTGCAACAGATTTCAAATAGATCGAAAGATAATTACATTTCTTTAATTTAAGCATTGCGGAAATTGCCTTTTATCGTTGTTTAATGCATTATTTTGCATTCATAGATAATGTATTCTATCTTACCTTGGTCAAATGTTCCAGCTTTAGTTTAGTATTAACCAGCTCTTGGGAGAGAAGAATTAGATCCAGCGCTAGATCCGACAATTCGGAATCTATTCCAGCTGTATCTTTGTCTACTTCAGTCACAGTTTCAGCAGAACCTATTCCAGCAGTAGCATTATCTATACCAGTCAAAGCTTTAGAATAATTTTCGGTATCGGTCAAACCAAGAGTTGATAATTCGGTCGAAACATCTTGATCTACCGCACTTTCTGGCGACATTGTGACTCTACAACATATAAAAGTTAAGAAAACAAGAGAATTAAAAATATTTACAATTACAAAATGAGCAATTTTTAGTTACATATTTATTCTTGAGAGGCATTTTTTTCAGGAAGCAATACAAAACTGTTAAGGATTGGATTTTGAGGTTGTTTACTAAATACAAATAATTTAAATTATTATCAACGTTATGAAATAACAATAATATTATGAAAATGTTTAAAGTAGAATGAGATGTAGAGGATTGTGGTTAGGGTTAGATTTAAACAAATGGATAACTATTACTCATCCATTCTTCCAACCCCATATCTTCACACACATTTACATTTCAGGGCAGTTTAAGAAACATTTACACATTTTTTTATGATAACTTTGTAATTTGGGAATATTTACAATTGATATAAATAGCGACTGATACTTGAGATTCTTAGCATGCAGAGGAATTCAGTCTATGCCAAACAATTTAAATTTTCTAATCCATATATCTTAGCAACCCGATGTCGTAGATATTTCAAACTTTATGAATGCTGTTAGATCAAATGATAATATAATAGGTTTATATATACCATCAGGGATTTGTGGCAAAGACTTATTTCCTCTCTAACACTTCATTCATGAATATAAACTAAAATGCTGCTGTCTTTTGACGCCATATTTGGCAAAAAAAAGGCTCAGGTACTTAACATTAAACAAAGATGGCTTATATGAGGGGGAGATTTCGAGGTGCTTGATAGATTGCAACAACTTCTGTTCAAAATTGGCCGGAATTGGAACATTTTCTAAGCTCTTCTGATTGTTGGTAATTTTTATTGAACTATAGAAACCCTCCTGGTTGGTTGGTACAATCTTTAAACCCTCCTGATTGGTGGAAACGCTCCATCAGTCCAGTAGATAAGTTGGTGCTCTGGTTGTGCTCCGGCAGCCACATCATCTAAATACAAGGAAAATTGATAAAATTTGTGACAAAAAACGGATATTTTACTATTCAGAGCAAAAACTAGGTCAAACAAAAGAGGTGGAGAAATTGATTCATGCATAGCCCTAAATATCGAGTTTTGAAGGATAATAAAGAATTTTTTAAAAGAAATGAAACATCACTTGCTCTCCTGTCAAATACTTTAAATCTTCGTTTACGAAAAAAGTTCTTTCTGTGTCAAGTTTTTATTAAATATTAATAAATAATGCTTTGTTCCATTAATTAATTTTTAATAAAAGGATACACTCTAAATTCATGATTCTATTTAAAGTGTGAAAAGATAAGTTTGAATAGACAAATCATTTTCTTTCATCAACTTTCTTAACCTGTCTTTCAGTTTCTTAGTGCTTAGTAACAGTATGATTTATAGAGCGGATACAGGAATTTACTAGGGGTGAGCAAAAATTGGTATTTTATGTCCATTTGCAGAAGCTTTAGGGGGTAGCAACTTTCCAGGGGTGAGACATTGCTCCATAGCTTACCCGGGCATCCGCCCCTGATATAAGATTATTTAAAGAAAACTTTAAAACTAGTGCTTAGGATTCCTTTCATCTTCATATTCATGAGGACTCTTATTTTTTGCGAAAAAATAGATTTGGAGCTAGAGTCAGTTAATTGATATATTTAATTAAGTTTTATAATAAAAAAACCTAATTACTGAAATATTAGGAAGGCTTTACACTTTAATATTTCTTTAAGGCAGACATTCTCGCGTTGGGACATTTCATTATTATTTTTATTATTACCAAGCAAACTTCAGTCAAAGAATCATATCCTGAAAGACATTTCATGGAAAGACACTTTATAAATAAGACATTTCATAGACAGGACATTTCATAGATAGAACATTTCATAGATAGGACATTTCATAGGAAGACATTTCATAGTTAGGACATTTCATAGATAGGACATTTCATAGGAAGTCATTTTATAGATAGAACATTTCATAGTTAGGACATTTCAAAGATAGAACATTTCATTGGAAGACATTTCATAGACGGACATTTCAGAGAAATTTTTCAAAGACAAGGGAAAATGTAAATACAGTACTCCACATTTACATTGCTACAAGGAAACAATTAAAAAATCATTACATATGAAGAGCATTATATTTAAATTTTAAAAACTTAAAATTAAACTTTTTCTTCTATGAAAACTTTTCTGTCCATTTAAACATTTTTTCGCTAACAGCGCTTTTGTTGAATGAAAATGCGCCGAGTGAATCTGCAAAACAAAAAAAACAAATTTCCTCTATCTATGAAATGTACTATCTATGAAATGTACTATCTATGAAATGTTCTGTCTATGAAATGCTCTATCTATGAAATGTCCTATCTATGAATTGTTTTAACTATGAAATGTTCTATCTATGAAATGTCCTATCTATGAAATGTTCTGTCTATGAAATGTTCTATCTATGAAATTTCCTATCTATGAAATGTCCTATCTATGAAATGTCCTATCTATGATATGTCCTATCTATGAAATGTCCTATCTATGAAATGTTCTATCTATGAAATGTTCTATCTATGAAATGTTCTGTCTATGAAATGTTCTATCTATGAAATGTCCTATCTATGAAATGTCCCATCTATGAAATGTCCTATCTATGAAATGTTCTGTCTATGAAATGTCCTATCTGTGAAATTTCCTATCTATGAAATGTCCTATCTATGAAACGTCCCATCTATGAAACGTCCCATCTATGAAATGTCCTATCTATGAAATGTGTTTCAATGAAATGTCCTAACGTGGATATTCTTCCATATTTACAATTTTCCTTGTGAAAATAATATTTTCCGTTGATTATATCTGTTTATGGTCTGGTGTTAGGTTCTGAACAGAATATTAACTATATAAATATCCTCTAACTATGCACGAAGGAGAAGAAAATGTTTGTCTAGAAAATTGAAACTCAACAACAGTAACACCCTGGGGGAAATTTCACGGGTGCATATTTTATAGAAATTCCCCCCCCCACACCTTCTTAAAAACAGAGTTTTATTTGATGGGTTTTTTCGCGGAATTTTCAACATTAGTGTTAAACTTGGACTATGAATAAAGAAAGGATCATGAACTGAACAGTACATTTGCTAGAATTGAATTGAATTGAATTGAATTGAATTGAATTGAATTGAATTGAATTGAATTGAATTGAATTGAATTGAATTGAATTGAATTGAATTCTATTTATTTGAATGGAATTGAAGAGAACATTTCCATAACATGTGAGATGGGTGATATTTGAAAGAAAAACAAACAAATATAAAAAGTGAAAAATATAGGTTCATGTTTCATTCATCCCTCAACTTTTCTTTAAATAATTTTTAACAACAAAATTCTCATCTTATGGAACCATTAGAAAAAGACTGAACATGTGCAAATTGATTATAATACGAGATAATGTTTCTTAAATTTTAATAATCTCCAAAACTATAAATGATAGTTCTAATAAAAATTCCTTTCTGAAACATTTAGTGTTTTCTCCTGTTATGAATAAAAGGCTAAAAGTTTTCTTGTCAGTTGAAACAAAGGATAATATTACGGAAACTTTTTGCTTAAAAACTCTGGAATGTGAGAAGAAATATGAAGCATTCTGCCAGAATATAAAGGGAAGGTTTAGGATTGCCTAAATTCACATAATACCTTAAACACACAAATGAGTCAGTATGAGTTAAAATGGTCTTCTAAACATATTTTAAACTCATAATTGGCAATGCTTGGGTATTTGATCAAACAGAGTTCTGGAATTTCATACATAACAAATCACATATTTACCTTGGGCTAGCAGTTGTTGATACTTGTTGAGTAGTTCAAGACCCTCTCTTGTCTTTACAGGATCATTCTGGATTTGATACAGATCCTACAAATTTTAAAAAATAGAGTTCTAACGGTACAGGGTGTCCAAATAAACATGGGAATTCAGTGACGAATTCGATATCGTCTTTTAAAACAATTCTTTGATTAAGTATAGTGATACCTACTGAGAAAGCTGTAATCTGTAAGAGTTCCGTCTGCTATGTTCACATTTTGTTTGTTTATGTTTTGACTGCATACAGTTGTACTTAGAAAAAAAACAAGAAAATTGCAGTATACAAACAGAGTAAACTTGTCCGTCTTCACTGTTCATCTTGCGGAGACATTATAGACACGTCTTTACAGTCTTCTACCATTTCATAAAATAAACTCTAGCAGACATAATAGTATTATGGCTATTGAAATTAGGTATTACAATGCTAATTCATAACAAAGACGATATCGAATTCGTCACTGAATTCCCATGTTTTGGGACACCCTGTAGTATCCAATATCCATATCATATCCCCACATATCTCATGCCATCACCATATTATTTTATCTTGCAATATACCATTCAATCTTGCCTCTTTCCACCCAAAGTAATTTAATCCAATTTGACTCTGACCCAAGCCTTCCATTTCATCCCATAACAGACTGACCCATTCCATTCAATCTATTCCCATCCCATCATAATCCATCCAATATTATTTTACCGCATCCCATNGGTTTAGCTTCTTAAATATTTTAATTGTTTTCCTTGTAAACAGAAAGGAGGGATAATTATAAATGGAACTAGTTAATTTGAGAACTTTAAATGGAATAATGTCGACCTAAATCTGCCAATTAGAAGGATGTCATTTTCTCATTAACTTGATATAAACCCTTAACATAGATTTAAACCTCACTCATTAAATAAAATAAATTGAAGAATAAAATTTCTTAAAGGGATTGTAAAATTTGTAAAGAATACACATAATTCATCTTCCATTTTACTGAAGTACAATTATTTTTCCAAGCTTAGGGCTGTATGTGTTATATTGTTATTGTTGTTACAAAACTATTAAGACCTCAACACCAGAAAGATTGAATCTTAAACCAAGGAGAGTTTATATGAGGATTGTATAAACCAAGGAGAGTTAATATGAGGATTGTATACCAAGGAGTTAATATGAGGATTGTATAAACCAAGGATAGTTAATGTGTGGATTGTTTAAACCAAGGAGAGTTAATGTTAGGATTGTATGAACCAAGGATATATGTTTGGATAGTATTAACCAAGGAGAGTTAATGTGAGGATTGTATAAACCAAGGAGAGTAAATGAATGGATTGCTTGAACCAAGAATAGTTAATGTTAAGATTGTATGAACCAAGGATAGTTAACTTTAGGATTGTATGAACCAAGAAGAGTTAATGTGAGGATTGTATGAACCAAGGAGAGTTAATACGAGGATTGCTTTAACCACGGAGAGTTAAAGTGAGGATTGCATGAACCAAGGAGAGTTAATATAAGGATTGCTTGAACCAAGGAGAGTTAAAGTGGATTGCATGAATCAAGGAGAGTTACTATGAGGATTGCTTGAACCAAGGAGAGTTAATGTGAGGATTAAATGAACCGAGGAGGATTAAAGTAAGGATTGTATGAACCAAGGAGAGTTTATATGATGATTAAATGAACCGTAGAGAGTTAATACGAGGATTGCATGAATCAAGGATCTAGTTAATGTTAGGATTGCTTGAACCAAGGAGAATTAAAGTGAGGATTAAATGATCCAATGAAAGTTAACATGAGTATTGAATGAACCAAGGATAGTTAATGTGAGGATTGCTCGAACCAAATAGATTTAACTTGAGGATTGTATGAACCAAGGAGAGCTAATATGAGGATTTCTTGAACCAAGGAGAGTTAATGTGAGGATTGTATGAACCAAGGAGAGTTAATGTGAGGATTACATGAACCAAGGAGAGTAAATGTGAGGATTGCATGAACCAAGGATAGTTAATGTAAGGAAAACTAACCTTGTGATAGGAAAACATGTCCTAGTAAAGCTAGACTAGTTGCTAGTAAACGGTTCAGATCCTCTGCTGTACTCATCTTCAATGTTTCCCTCAGACATCTCTTAGCCTCGCTAACATTGTTCGTATAGTACGCCTAGATAAACAAAGAGGTTATTCAAAATCAAATTATTATCTCCCCCCTCTTTGGTTGTAATGTCGGCTAATCTTAAAAATTGTGTTAAACTCAGGGGACGCTAGTTCCAACCCTGAGTGTCAGGTTTGGGCACAAATATTATAATCAACGTTTTAAAACTCTTTCGGTATCCAGGGCAAATTTTAATGAGGTAAACTGTTTCCAACATATCATAAAGCATGACAAGAACTAAAAATAACATTATCAATTTTTTTCTTCAAAAGTAGTCCTTTACTTTCAATACAACCAATACAAGGTTTTTCATTTGTTTACATTAAGCAAGTCCATCAAAAACCGCAAAATAAGGTAATCTTAGGTTGAAACTTTTGAGTGGATATTGCTTATCTTTAACGCTTGATCTGCAGGATATGACTACCAAGGAAATACAGTGTGTTTGATTCACAACACAAATTTACTTACGTTCATGCCATGGACGAAGTATGCAGCTGCCTTCAAGCAGTGAGAGGAACTAGGTAGGTTGTCAGGACTTATACGAGGCAATATTTCTTGAAACTCTTGCAACCGGTTAGATCTAGAACATTTACGTAAACGGACGGTCACTGACATTATTTAGGGACCCTAAAAAAGAGCGACATGTCTTATTCACAGCGTTGCCCTGTAGACTTTTATTTGATCAATGATCGTAGATGATTTTCTATGGGTTTCTAGATAAAAAACTGTTAATTCTGATGATTTTCTCTTTCTCAGGCAGAAACCCGTAAGTCACTTGCATAGCGAAACCACAATGGAAAATAATCAATTATCAAAGTTAAAAACATGGATATCTTATTCATTCTTATCATATCATACTCATTACACCACTTTACACATTACATGGTACTTTTGTGAATTTGGCATCACCTCTTTAAATGAAATGTCACATAAAATTAAAATGAAAGTCCCTTTAACTGGGAGGAATAAAAACAAAAATGGGATTTGTTTACATTTCTCTGAGAAATAGAATATTTAAATTGTAGATAATAATGTACAATTATATAAAATTATTCCACTTAAATTAGAAGTTACAAAGAAATAGCAGTGAATAGAATATTTAAGATGTAGAAAATAATGTAGAATTATATAAAATTATTCCACTTAAATTAGAAGTTACAAAGAAATAGCAGTGAATAGAATATTTAAGATGTAGATAATAATGTAGAATTATATAAAATTATTCCACCTAAATTAGAAGTTACAAAGAAATAGCAGAGGAAGCAAAGTTAAATGAAGCAAAGCAAAGTAGAAAACATATACTTTAAAGAGACTGTAAGCATAATTTTAAAGATGTCAATGCCCGATTCACAATGGTACCCTCGAAATCGTTATATGTTGAATTATGTGTTTAAGTTCTGAAATCCTAAAAGTTTTCCCAAAGTAGAAATGTGCGAGTCACTTTGGTAAAAAAGTCACAATTGAAAATAATCAGTTTTAAAAGTTATAAACATCGATATCATATTCAAACTTGATGAAACAAAGCTTTTAAGGGTACTGTTGTAAATGCAGGGAATTGCTATTTTGGAATGGAGGGTCCCTTGAAATTATTCTTCAAAATTACAAACCTTAGATAAACAATTGCCAGATTAAGGTTTGCAAACGTCCATAGTTCAGTTTCCCGAGTAGTTCGGAGAGCTGCGTTAAACTGAGTTTCAGCTTCGTTCAAACAGTTTTGGGACATCGCATACAAACCTGGAAGAAAGACGACATTCAGATCAGAGTTTACATAGATAATACACTATGATTATTATGATTATTATTATGATGATGATTTTTAAACATCTGGTGGAAAAAAATAAAAAGCAAGTTTTCATACTTTTTACCAAAAAATATTTGTTTTCCCCTAAAAAGCATTATTTTCCCATTTCAGCTAATAAAACCCTAAAATAATGTACCTAATTTCTGGAGAATAAAAATTATTTTTAAAAGAGGGGTCGGGAGGATGATTTTTTAATGTGTTCCAACTTCACCATCATATCGGATCGGGCACAGTTGGGATTTCAGGGAAACTAACTAATTTAGAAAGATTGAATCAAAGCAATTAAAAAAATTGAATATGGCTAATATACAAACTTGTATGGAATTCTTTGATCTCCATAAGTACATTGATACTTTGACGTCAAAGCTTGAAAATTATGAAATATGAAATGGGAAGGGAATAGGGGAAGAGGGAATGGAAAAAGGAAAAAAGGGAAGGGAAAAGGGGAAGAGGGAATGGAAAAAGGAAAAAAGGGAAGGAAAAAAGGGAAGGAAAAAGGGGCAGAAGGGAAGGGAAAAGGGGCAAGAGGGAAGGGATATAGAGGAAGGGAAGAGAAAAGGAGGAAGAGGAAATGGAAAAATGGGAAGAGGGAAAGGAAAAAGGAAAAAGGGGAAGGGAAAAGGGGCAGAAGAGAAGGGAAAAAGGGTAGGTAAAAGGGGCAAGAGGGAAGGGAAATAGAGGAAGGGAAGGGAAAAGGGGGAAGAAGGAACGGAAAAACCACACACACAAAAAAAAATCAGAATCAGAAAAGCTTTAAAAAAGTGAGGGGGGACCTTGAAGTTGACCTTCTTAGGGTACCAAAATGCTCCATTATATTCTACTAAAATACAAAAATTCTTAGAAGTTTGCAGAGGCTTCAGAAACCTGTAAAAGATACCTGTTTTTTTAAGTTGTGGATTTGGGGTAAAAATATGATTCTGAAAAGAGGGGGGGGGGAGCAAAAACATGAGTCTCACAACTAATATACACCCCTTGATCATAACTGTGATGTAGGAAGAAGACTAATTGACTAATGTTAAGTAGTCAAATGAACATGAAATACGTAGCAATTGTGCAGTGTGGACAGGTCCATTTCTCTTATTTTGTTGATTTTGAAGCAAATAGTAGAACTTTTGTTTTCAGTACAACGTAGACACATGAAAGCTTAAATGCTGTCTTCCTATTCCACAGTTGTTAAGAAGCTCACCTATAAGAGTATGAAGCTGTGATCTATGGTTCTGAAGGAGAAGAGGGTTCTTCTCTAGGAGTGTACACAACACTCCTATATCCCGGATACCCTGCTCCTTCTTTCCTAAACAATATTGTATTTTTTATAGCTTTGTTCTTGCCATTTCTATTTGTAATGATAAGAAAACGTCTTTTCATTGGAATAAATGAAAACAAAATATATTTTTGATGGATTTCAAGTAAAATTAAATTTTTTAACGACTAAATATTATAGGTTTAACTTCCATTACGAAAAAAAAAATTATGATGCCTCTTCAGAATCGGCCTTAAAGCAAGAAGCCAATTCAGCCAAAAACAATTTTTACTACAGTGATAGGCGATATCGATTCAAATAAGACATTTTTTATTTAATTTTTTAATCGTTTACAAGCTTTTTTCAAATTACAAGTTTTACAAGTAATCATAGAGAAGCTTTTTTTACAGACAGCTTCTCATGACTTCTATGTCTATGTTTAACCATGCTTTTTAAAGCTTGATATTAATCAAAATTAAAATCTCAAGTCGTCTTCGTTGTATTGATATATAAGACAACGACTTCGTAGGATTATTATGGCGGTCTGTGTTTCAAAAGATATTATTGCAGATATCATCTTGTATATTCTCGTATAAAACTTAATATGGGTCTAATCATGCATTGCATTGTCGCTCGATACAATTTCTTGCATTTAAATGTCATAAAATAACTGAGTTTACTTGTATATCTAATATATTGTATTGTTTCTATAATTTCATAACCAGAGGCCTTGTTTCTGATTAAAGAGGATCAAAATATATAAAATTATTTGAGATCTTCAAGTATATTAAAGGGCTCGGAAAATCCTAGATAAATTTGTTTCTGTGTCTTAAGCTCAGTTCGTTTGCCAAAAAGAAATTATAAATCAACAACGAAAAAACGAAAAATAAGAGAAACAAATATGTGACCATTGATAATAAAAAGATCTAACTACCTTGAACAATTCTGCACTGGATGATATGCTCGACCAGCATTACGTGGAAGAAAGATATGAGGGAGTTCTCCTGGGTTCCCTGCTAAATATATAAAGTAGGATGGGTCCTATTATAAGATGAGTACTCCTGGGTTCCCTGCTAAATATATAAAGTAGGATGGATCCTATTATAAGATGAGTACTCCTGGGTTCCCTGCTAAATATATAAAG